CGATTCCTTTGTGAAACAGGGATCAGATGTTAGTTGACTTCTTAACGCGGCTTATCTCACGGTTCCCTCTGTGAAACGACAGCTGAACTTTGATAGTTGACAACTCTCCATGAATTGCATATAGCCAGGCAAAATTTTCAAGTTCCCATATGTACCAACAAGAAATACAACCAACTACAGACATAACTTTTGGAACATCTCCCTCATTGAGGCCGACCGGTTGCGGTAGCAAGGGCTGTTCGGGAACATTGTTGAAAAGCGAATTCAACGCAACTCAGTGAGGAGCTTAAGAAAGTTGACTGCACATTCTACAGCTCCAACATAGACTGTGCGATGTGCGGGCCGCGAAGAGAGATGCGGAAAACGATGACGAAAGAAATCTTTCGATGGATCCCACGGATGACCAGCTTCATCACAGAAAACTGAGAAATAATAGGATTTATAAAAGGATTTCATTAGAAACTGGGCGCTCATGTCCTTGGGGGGAGGGTGGACATTAACGTGAGCGTGTGAGCCAGTTATAGTGCGTGAGATTAAGCCCTAGGGAGGGGAAGGGATCCGGGGGAGCATGACAGCAACTTGCGTTTTACCTGGCATTTCGCCTCTATGATGTCCCCCTAGCCCTAGTCTCACCTACATATCATCGTGCCCGTTTCCAATGTCCCAAGGATATGAGCGCTGAAAATGATGTAGCAGGGACAAACTGAATGGAGTTTGATTTACCAACTCAGCAATGAACTGAGCCTGAGTAAACCGCTACTTCTTCTTTCTGTTTCTTCTAAGTTTAGTTTTCTCTGCGCTGTTGATCAAAAGGCACATCAACTACAGAAAATGACGTTGAGATGCAATTGCCACCATTCTCACTTCCCCCGTGTTTGGTGGCTGCAGGGCAGTTTATCAGCAATGGCGAGGATTCCCGCTTATCAATTGTAGCATGCCGAGAAAAGGCGCCTATGCTAATCGCACGTTTTGGTGATCGCCTGATAAAAATTCATTCATAGTTTCATCTTCCAAAAAAGCGGTAAGTGATGATAAATATTCTAAATATTGCTGGTACATAATAAATTTTCGAACGCATAAATATAATAATACGAGTATTGTTTACTTCACTTTTCCGGAATACTTTTCCCGCTCTACAATGTATTTTTTACCATTTTTTTGATAATATAAACACATTGCGTATATATGTATAATATCGCATAAATATCATTGCACCTTCCGAAAATTTCTTCATTTCACGCAAGATTTCATGCAGCGTACACTCTATCGTACGGTAATTAAGCTGAACATGGATTTCGCGATCTATAATTTTCATGACAAATCACCTACTTACTTTGTAAATTAACCTCAAAACTATGGATTCCACTAGTTTTTCGCACATTAAGGATCCGTAAGGCATGAACCATGTCTTTCCCTCCTACATCTGTGAAGATCTTCACACATTGTGATTGACCCCTTCGCAGACGACCCCTACCTACCGCCGGCCAAATACCTTTGCTAGAGCACAGCTCTTGCTTTGCAAACATATCCTGATGTTCTTCTGCTCATATCGTAGAAACTATTTGAATTTGACAATGTCCAAAGAATGCAAAGCATACAAACAAATGATGCAATATTGAAAGTATCTTCCATCATGGACTTATGCAACCGAATAGAAAATATCCTCTGTAAACAGGAGTCTGTAATGAGAGTGCTTATACCCTTTACTGCAGGTAAACTGTTCCTAAAAACCATTGAAAGGTGATTTTCAACTGCGATTTTTGGTTATAATAAGGTTAGAGGATAGAGCATTTGCCGTTGATCAATCCCTTTTGGAATGCGCTTTCTACTTCCCCTTTTACATTCGTAGTCTTTTGAATGTGATTTGGCCTATACAATGGCTTGCAGGGCCAGAGGACGCACAAGTTATTGTGTTTATCATCCCTGACAAGTCGAGTACCAGTTAGATGAGGAACACATGAATA